CTTTCTTTGCTATAAATTATAAAAAAGGAGGTAAGTTTCACCTGTCAATCATTTTATTCGCTTCATGCAAACATAAGTAAAATAATCAATCAAATCTTACCTCGCAACCAATAGCCCGATCAAGGTCAGTCCGGTTCCGATAAATTTTCGATCGTTCTGATCGGATTTCCACGAGACTATTATTCCTATGGATGTTAAGTTCAATTTTGGATGTAAGCAGGGTTGTGAAAACGATTTCACACATTTCTTTCAAAGTTTGCGATCTTCTCCAAACGAGTTATACATTTCGTTAGGATTCCCATCATCGGCATCATCATCGGCACCATCATCATCTATCTCTATTTCGTCTTCAACTATTAATGGTGTTCTAAAGCCTCTTCGGCTGTAAATAGTTTCATGGGTGGAACAGATCAAGAAAGGAAGAATTTTCGCTTGCAGAATCGGTTTTCGCGGACGAAAGAAATACCAAAAGCATGTGGTCCCAAACGTTCAATCTGTCGAAGCAACAATTTCGGAAACCATGTACCATGTGCAGAAGGGTGAAAACATGATGAATCTCGAGAAGGTTGCAAAAATCCGCTCGTGATAGTTAGATCGTAAACGCGGCAAAAGGACTAAAATTATTAAGGAATAATTAGTAAGTCGCTTCACATGTATATTAGCACAAAACATCCTGTATCACGGGCTATGACCCGACTTGTATTTATTTTTCGCATGTGGATAAATTCTACGAAATTCATTTCCGAAAAAGGAAACAGTACTTTGGATAAATTTTTTTTTTTTAATAATCCCCAACAAACATTGGAGTTATTTGACTCAAATAAAAAATCAAGTTGCAAAGTAATAAATTTCTATTTGAAAAGAATTTCACAGGAAAATACATCATTGATTATTGCATTACTTACTAAATTCAATGACAAGAATTAAAAATTTACCTTTTAATTTCTGTATTTATCCAAATATATAAACGCATCATCAGCTCTTTCAAAACAAACCAGTTGTACATCGGAGCTTTGTTCTCATTTAGCATTTTCTCATGGCAATTTATAACCAAACTTTCATATATATATATTTTTTCTCATGGTACAAAACATGCATTAGATCTGTCCCTAAATCATTATCCGCAGACAAGCTTGTGAATTTATAAAATAATTTAACGCGCCAGCAATTAAGCGTGCAATTGATAATTTTATTTTCATTATAAATTCGGATGTTCTGCAAGATAAGAACCAATCAATAACTTTTAATGAAAAACATACTTGTTGTAAAATGCATCGATAGCTGAATAATTAATTAGAAATTTGAAAAGAATGATCCAAATTTATTAAATAGCGAAAAGATTAAATATCAGTGAATATAATCAATATTTGTTAAATCACAACTAATTCTTTTAAAATTTGTAAGATGGAATTTTACAATCCATTATAGGTGAACTAGTACCATTTATTTTTTTAAAATTTATATGACAGGAATATTTTTTATTATTGCGCGAATTGGTTTAATTTATATAATTTATGTAGAACAAAAGATGTAATATTTTTTTTTCTAGAATTTGAAAAATGAGGTAACGATTTTCTTGATCTATTTAATGTCGATAAAAAAAAATTTTTTTTTCGGTCAGACCGCAGAATAAAGGTTCGAGGGGGGAAAATTCTGTCGTGTAACACAAATACGAAATGCATGCAATGACTATAGTTATAGTGAGCGAGGTATATGTGAGAGTGAACCAAAATTTCGACCGTGATATCTATCGGTCAAATTAAAATTCAACACGATCACTTTTCATCACACGTTTTTTCCTCTCTTCATATCCTTTTTTTTTCAACGTTTTCTTCTCTTTTCGTAATAAACTCTACCTCACTTTTCTCAAACTGTTTCAATAGCTTTTTTTATAAACATATTATGTTACTCTCTTATAATGGAAACTAATAAAGACATTTTTTCCTTTTAACCCTTTTGAACCGAACTTAAATGAAGTTGTTGAAATTCTCGATGAGTATGATAGTGAAGATGACCATAAAGATGAAGAAAGCCAAGGAAATGCTTAGAATTAAACTCAGGAATGGATAGGCACTTGTCTTTGGCTTATTAATCGTGGCATTGTACGTAGAAATTTTTCTCGAGTTATGTTTTATTCAAAAAAAATGACAGTTTTCATATTATACTCATTAGGGTTTCCGTTTGAAATACAAATTTAATATCAAATATTTGAAATTTTTTTAAAATAATTTCAAACGTATATAGAAATGATTTCGGATATCGAAATTAATTTCAAATATCGAAAATCATTTCGAAAAGAATATATAAAAAAAAAATTAAATTACGAAAAAAAAAAAATTAAAAAGAAAAAATTAAATAAATTAAATAAAAAAAAAAAAGAATGGACTGAAGAAAAAATATATCGAAAAAACCAAAATACAAAAAAAAAAAAGAATGAAATGCGAAAA